CACTGCACTCCAGCCTGGGCAACACAGAGAGACTCCATCTCAAAAATAAAAGAAAGAAAATCACAATATAGAAAGGTATAAAGTAAACAAAAACAAAGGCTAGGCGCAGTGGCTCACACCTGTTATCCCAGCACTTTGGGAGGCTGAAGTGAGAGGATTGTTTGGGTCCAGGAGTTCAACAGTAGCCTGGTCAAATAGCAAGACCCCATCTCTACAAAATAAAAAAAATTCAGCAGGCGTGGTGGCTCACGCCTGTAGTCCCAGCTACTTGGGAGGCTGAGGTGGGAGGACTGGTTGAGCCCAATGAGTTCAGGGCTGCAGTGAGCTATGATCACAGCACTGAATTCCAGATCTCACAACAGAGTGAGACCCTGTCTCAAAAAATAAAATAAAATAAAAATAAAATTGCACACAATCTTGTGCCTCAGACAGCGATTTCTATGTATATTTTCCCACCCATACTTTTTCTAGGCATACAAGCATATGTAGATACTTAAAACATGAAGATATCTATACACACACTGAATCAATTAACATGTAGCAAGAATCTTCTATCACAGTTGAAGGTCTTTATAAATGCAACAGCTATTGTGTGTCCCACTGCCCAATATCCAGGACTCCAGGACAGAGTTTCTCCACTGTGACACTATAACATTTTGGAATGGATTGTTCTCCATTGTGGGAGTCTGTCCTGTGGATTGTCAGATGCCTAGCAGCATCCTTGACCTTTATAATTTTACATCAAAAGGGCCTGATGGTAAACACAAATGGCACACGTGTGTTGATCTATCCCTTTGAACCATTTTCTACCTTGCCTCCCCCACACTGCTTGCCGGTCCCTTTAAACCTCTGCAGAATTCAGGTGACCAACTAAGAACAAGCAAAAGGGAGGCAAGCTGTAGTGACTGGCCAACTCAAATAAGGCAGAACCTCCACTTGGGGGCTAAAAACATCACTACAATGCTCAAAGAATTATGGGGACAGTCCATAGGACATAGGACCCTGTGCAAAGGTTCCCACTGGTCCCATCTCCGCTCTCGATGTGCCTTGCACCCTACAGCCAGCCAGACCACATGCCTCATTCGTCTGTGCTAGGATGAGAAGCACAGGACCCAAGAGCACTTCCTCCCTAAAGGTCCTTCAGTCAGTCTACGTCCACCCACCATGTAGCCCACAACAGATGGTGTCACCTATTCCAGCAGCTAGACCTTGGATATGCTGCATTTAAAGGTCAAATTTCCTAAACAGAACCCTTTTATGGACAAACACAGAGTGTTTTCTTAAAAGCTAGACTGGCTGGGTGCTTGTTTGCTTGACTTACCATATTCTTCTGGGACTTGCAATCCAAAAAGCCCCAGGCTCTTCAATTTCTCCAAAGTTTCATCTGGGATTTTCCCTTCCTGGTCAATTTTTCGACAGTCCACTGCCAAGAGGAAAATTTTGATTAAACAAACATAAGCTATGTTTCTACAAATAGAAGTAAACAGAACAATGTTTATACATTAGTAATATATAATCCTGGAGTAGAAACTTTTTCAAAACTAGAAATTCTGTAGTCATGGTCATTTGGCCTGTGTTCAATTTTACGTAATAAGCCCAGGAAAATTTTTATTTTTATATATTTGAGACAGGGTCTCACTCTGATATCCAGGCTGGAGTACAATGACACAGTCATAGCTCATGTAGCCTCAATCTCCCAGGTTCAAGCAATCCTTCTGCCTTAGCCTCATGAGAAGCTGGAACTACAGGTACATACCACCACACCCAGCTAAATTTTTTTTTTTGAGACACAGTTTCGCTTTTGTTGTCCAGGCTGGAGTGCAATGGCACAATCTCGGCTCACTACAACTTCCGTCTTCAGGGTTCAAGTAGATAGCCTCCCCAGTAGATAGGATTACAGGCACACACCAATAAACTTAGCTATTTTTGTGTTTTTAATAGAGACGGGGTTTCTCCATTGTTGGTCAGGCTGGTCTCAAACTCCCGGCCTCAGGTAATCCACCCATCTCAACATCCCAAAGTGCTAGGATTACAGGCATGAGCCACTGTGCCCGGCCCAATGTGTTTTAATTAAATGGCAATAGGGATGACCCCTAAAGCAAAATATTATGAGTGGAAACCATTTCTCCCTCAAGAAAACTTCCCCAGCCAGGCGCAGTGGCTCACACCTGTAATCCCAGCACTTTGGGAGGCCAAGGTGGGTGGATCACCTGAGGGTTGGGAATTTGAGACCAGCCTGACCAACATGGAGAAACCCCATTTCTTTTTTTTTTTTGAGACAGAGTTTCGCTCTTGTTACCCAGGCTGGAGTGCAATGGCGCGATCTTGGCTCACCGCAACCTCCGCCTCCTGGGTTCAGGCAATTCTCCTGCCTCAGCCTCCTGAGTAGCTGGGATTACAGGCACGTGCCACCGTGCCCAGCTAATTTTTTGTATTTTTAGTAGAGATGGGGTTTCACCATGTTGACCAGGATCGTCTCGATCTCTTGACCTCGTGATCCACCCGCCTCGGCCTCCCAAAGTGCTGGGATTACAGGCGTGAGCCACTGCGCCCGGCGAGAAACCCCACTTCTTAAAGAAAACTTCCCCTACGTATGCCACTTCTAATACAAATATCAACCGAATTGCGCTTACAATGGAAATTGGCAATGGGTAAAGAAAACCATACATACCCTCTTCAGTGAAGAATTTTTCCACGGGTCCCAAGAACTGACTGATTTCATTAAGTTCATCTTGGGTAACTTCTGGAAATGGGAAAACTTCTTTCTAAAAATAGTAAATATTTTCTAAAAATTATATTTTAGCATGCTCTCATCATGGAAATATCAGTTAAAAGGTAAGGAAAAATATGTGCTCTACTCTACTCTGGCCAGCAGGACAGGATGCACTGAAGGAACTGGAAAGCAAATCTCACAAGGTTCCTGAGATACAGGAACTGTGTGCAGGCTCCACCAACCACATCCATCTTCCTCCCCTGCTCAAACACGTTCTTCTGATTTTGCTCAGCTTTCCTTCTCAGTATAAGGGATGATAACGGTCCCATGAAACAAGGAGCCCAAGACTAACGTTTAGAAGCCTGGGGATCTGGTCCTTGATTTCAGACTTACTAGTTATATGGCCTTCACCAAATCCCTTCAGCTCTCCAAACTACCCCTTTCTCACCCATAAGAGGCAGGTAATATTTACTCAATGCCCTTGTGAGAATCATGGAAGATAGTGGACGTGAAAGCTCCGTACTAAAATGGGACAATTCTACATCAATTATTGTGTGAGCACAAAGACGCTACGCTGACAAGAGTACACTGTGTTTACCTGGTCTGAGTGATCCCTACAGCCTCTGTCTCTCCTGCTCACAGACATCTGTTCCCTGTGCTGAGCCCCTCTGGACTTTTGGGCTCTGTTACCCCTTCAATTATCAGCATGACATGAGCTTTGGATGTGGACTTTAGGCTGCTGAGCAGTAATGTCTTAAGTCACAGCTACAGGCCCAAGGGGTCACCTGTCCTCATGGCACCTCTCACCAACTGTCTCTATAGAAGTCTTCAGGAGACCTCAATGTTCTTCCCACCCCTTTTACAGCTAATCAGCCACTGGATTTATCTAGTCTGTCAGTATGTTCTCACTGCTTTCTCCTCTCTGGGCCGAGGACCACAGGCTTATGGGTGAGTCCCTAACTAAAAGTGACAGCTGACTTAAAGGAATCCCTGCCTCCATCCATTCCGAAACCACCCTGAAGGTGGTGCTGAAAAAAACAAACTTGGCTGGGCACGGCAGCTACTGCCTATAATCCTAGTCTTTTGGGAAGCTGAGGCAGGCATATAGCTTAAAGTGCAGGAGTTCAAGATCAGCCTGGGCGTAGTTGCACATGCCTGTAGTCTCAGCTACTCAGGAGGCTGAGGTGGGAGGATCCCCTGAGCCCAGGGAGGTTGAGGATGCAGTGATTGCACCACTGCATTCTAGCATGGGCAAGAGTAAGACTCCATCTGAAAAAAAAAAAAAAAAAAGAAAAAAACAAGCTGATGGCCCCATCACTCTGCACTGCAGCCTTTTAGATTAAAGTTCAGTCTCCTTCATTGAACACAAAGGCTGACTGACACCTGGGCCTTGTGCAATGAATGGGCTGTGTTAGAGGTCATTCTGGTACCAGTGGGCAGGCCAGATAAGACAGCCTGACAACTGGTTGGCCTTCAGGTACAATCAGAGAAAAATTCCTAGACAGGAGAGATTGCAGGGGCATGGAAAAGATTCTGATGTTACCAAATTAGGTCAATGCCTCATGGGAGGGGAGTTCAATTGCAATAAACAGTTTGTAAATTACCTAAAGCAGTGGAATCTGATATTCAAATAAATCTAGTGCAGAAACCAAATACGTAAGACAAAAGCCAAGCAGCTCTGACTGAGACTGCTGATAGTCTGGAAAACAGTCACCAAAATCCCACCCACTCAACTTCCCACCCAACCCTGTAGCAGTCCCAGGGGCACTCCATGCATAGCAAGGGTCGGGCTGAGGGCAGGGTAATAACCACTGGCCTACATAAGCTGAAAGGTCTTTTCCAGTTCTGAGATTCAAAGCACGTCCCATGTTTCTGCTCTAATCCTAGTAAGGCTGTGAGAGATGGCATTGGCCTTATCCTAATTAGTAGCAGAAGGACCTAAAAGTGGTCAGATTCTGAAGAACCTGAAAATAGAGAAAACCAGATCTGCTGTGGAAATAGATGTGGACTAGGAGACTAAGAATACAAGGTGACTCCAGGTGTTCTGTATGAACAGGAGGAATGACAGAGCCACCATTATCTATGATAAAGAAGGCTGGTGGTCGGAACAGGATTGGGCAGGAACCAGGAACTCAGTTTTGGATCTATTAATCTCAAATGGACTCTTAGACCTCTTAGTAGAGCTTCTGAGTACAAAGGTAGATTTTAAAAAAAGAATCTTAGCTGGGTGTGGCAGGGCGTGCCTATAGTCCCAGATACTGGGGGTGCTAAAGTGGGAGGATCTCTTGAGCCTAGGAGTTCAAGGTTGCAGTGAGCTATTACGGCACCACTGCACTCCAGCCCAGGTGACTGAGGAAGGCTCCAACTCTGAAAAAAACAAAAGGAGGCGTCCACCTCCAGCCTGGTGTAGGCCTTTAAAACATATAACATAAAAATGGCTTCCAAAAGAGCTCTGGTCAACCTGGCTAAAGGATCAGAGGAAATGGAGACCGTCATCCCTGTAGATGTCATGAGGCGAGCTGGGATAAAGGTCACCGTTGCAGGTCTGGCTGGAAAAGACCCGTACAGTGTAGCCGTGATGTCATGATTTGTCCTGACACCAGTCTTGAAGATGCAAAAAAAGAGGGATCATATGACGTGGTGGTTCTACCAGGAGGTAATCTGGGTGCACAAAATTTATCTGAGTCTGCTGCTGTGAAGGAGATACTGAAGGAACAGGAAAACTGGAAGGGCCTGATAGCCGCCATCTGTGCAGGTCCTACTGCTCTGTTGGCTCATGAAATAGGTTTTGGAAGTAATGTTACAGCACATCCACTTGCTAAAGACAAAATGGTGAACAGTGGTCATTACACCTAATCTGAGAATTGGCTGGAAAAGGACAGCCTGATTCTTACAAGCCGTGGGCCTTGGACCAGCTTCGAGTTTGTGCTTGCAATTGTCGAATCCCTGAATGGCAAGGAGGTGGCAGCTCAAGTAAAGGCTCCACTTGTTCTTAAAGACTAGAGCAGTGAAATGTGACAATCACCTAGAGAAACAGGCCTTAGCAATCTACTCTCACTGTGTTCGCTCTGAACAAAACAATGGTAGGTTACTGTGTTCCGAAGCTGCCCTCATTACTGCTTTTGTGGAAGTATGGCTGTGAAGTCACAACTACATAGATATCTTTCAACGTACAGATTGTGTCTGTACATTTCTAAGCCTTGTTTGCAGAATAAACAGGGCATTTAGCAAACTACTGAAAAAAAAAAAAAGGAATCTGGAGTTTAATCTCAACTGGAGAAATGTGAGGCATCAGGATACTGATTACATTTAAAGCTAGGACACTAAATAAGGTCACCCAGGAGATGGCTGTAGATGAAAAGAGACCGAGCCTTAGTAAATTCCAACTCGGGGCCAGGCGCGGTGGCTCACGC